CAGCGATTAATTTTATGACTATTATTCTAAATTCACTTTCTGTTATATTGTTTAAATCATTTTTGATCAGTTCGTTAGCTGTCGTTATTTCCTGGAGATTCTTTTGAGGGGAATTCTTCTGTTTCCTCATTTTGGATAGTCCCTGGAGTGGTGGGGAACTGTGGGGCACTTCCCCTGTGCTGTTTGAATAACTTGTGTTGGTGGGCGGGGCCGCAGTCAGACCTGATGTCTGCCCCCAGCCCACCACTGGGACCACAGTCAGACTGGTGTGTGCCTTCTCTTTCCCTCTCCTAGGGGCGGGATTCACTGTGGGGTGGCGTGGCCCGTCTGGGCTACTTGCACACTGCCAGGCTCGTGGTGCTGGGGATCTGGCGTATTAACTGGGGTGGATTGGCAAGGTGCACGGGGGTGGGAGGGGCAGGCTCAGCTCGCTTCTCCTTCAGTGATCTGCTTTGGGAGGGCCCTGTGGCACCGGGAGGGAGTCAGACCCGCCTCCGGAGGTATGGATCTGCAGAAGCACAGGGTTGGATGTTTGTGCGGTGCAAGCAAGTTCCCCGGCAGGAACTGGTTCCCTTTGGGATTTTGGCTGGGGGATGGGCGAGGGAGATGGCGCTGGCGAGCGCCTTTGTTCCTGGCCAAGCTGAGCTCTTTCGTCTGGGGCTCAACAACTCTCCCTCCCATTGTCCTCTAGTCCTCCCGCTCTCTCTGAGCAGAGCTGTTAACTTATAACCTCCCAGATATTAAGTCCCGCTTGCTGTCAGAACACACTCCATCAGGCCCCTCCGCTTTTGCAAGCCAGACTCCAGGGGCTCTGCTTGGCTGGCGGGCTGCCCCTCCGCCCCAGCTCCCTCCCGCCAGTCCGTGCAGCGCGCACTGCCTCTCTGCCCTTCCTACCCTCTTCTGTGGGCCTCTAGTGTGCTCTTGGCTGCAGAGAATCCGTTCTGCGAGTCTTCTGGCAGTTTTCTGGGTTATTTAGGCAGGTGTGGGTGGAATCTAAGTGATCTGCAGGACGCGGTGAGCCCAGAGTCCTCCTACGCCACCATCTCTGGCATAGGCTTTTTTCGATTACTGAAAATGCTTTTAACAGAGCAGAAAGTTTTTAATTTTAATGAAGTCCAGTTTATCCATCATTTCTTTCATGGATCATGACTTTGTTGTTGTATCTAAAAAGTCATTACCATATCCAGCATCAGCTCTTCTCTTATTTGATCTTCTAAGAGTTTTATAGTTTTGTGTTTTACACATTTAGGTCTATGACCCATTTTGAGTTAATTTTTGTGGACGGTGTAAAGTCTGCATTTGGATTTTTTTTTTTTTTTTTTTTTTTTGTCTTTGCTTCATTGTATTGTCTTAACTACTTTGTCAGCAATCAGTGGTGGGGTACCTGGGTGGCTCAGTTAAGCCTCCGACTTCTGCTCAGGTCATGATCTCATGGTCTGTGAGTTCGAGCCCTGCATTGGGCTCTGTGCTGACAGCTCAGTGCCTGGAGCCTGCTTCAGATTCTGTGTCTCCTTCTCTTCCAGCCCTCCCCCTCTCATTCTCTGTCTCTCTGTCTCTCTCAAAAATAAATATTAAAAAAAATTTTTTAAAGGATCAGTGGACTATATTTATTCTGGGCTCTCCATCTGTCTCATTGATCTATTTGTCTCTTGTGTTTTTGTCAATACCACACTGTCCGGATTTTGAAAGCTTCATAGGAATTCTTGAAGTCAGGCAATATCAGTCCTTTAAATTTTTTTCTTGTTAAATACTGAGTTGGCCCTTCTGGGTCTTTTGCTTCTCCATATAAACTTTAGAATCTGTTTGTTAGTATCCACAAAATAACTTGCTGGGATTTTAGGTGGGATTGATTTTGTATTTAACCTGTACCCTGCAGACTCGCTATAATTGCTTACTAGTTTGAGGAGTTTTTTTGTCAATTCTTTAGCATTTTCTATACAGATGATAAAGTCATATGTGAAGAAAGACTGTTTTATTTCTCCCCTCTCAAACTGTAGGCATGAGTTAGGACTTCTAGTGCAATATTGAAAAGCAGGTGAGAGGGGACATCTTTACCTTGTTCTTGATCTTAGTGTGAAAACTTTCAGTTTCTCAACATTAAATATGATTTTTATCTGTAGGTTTTTTTGTGGATATTCTTTACCAAGTTGAGGAAGTTCCCCTCTATTCCTAGTTTACTGAGAGCTTTTGTCATGAATGGCTATTGGATTTTATCAAATGCTTTTTGTGCATCTATTGGTATGATCATGTGATTTTTCTTCTTTAGCCTGTTGATATGATAGAATACATGGATTGATTTTTGAACATCGAACGAACCATGCATGTGTACCTGGGATATATCCCACTTGGTCATGGTGTATAATTCTGTTTATTCATTGCTGGATTCAATTTGCTAATGTTTTGTTCAGGATTTTTTCACTTATATTCATGAGAGATATTAGTCTATAGTTTTCTTATAATATCTTTGTTTGGTTTTTGTATTAGGGTAATTCTAGCCTCATTGAATGAGTGTAAGTGTTCACTTTGCTTCTGTCTTCTGAAAGGGATTGTAGAGAATTGGTGTAAATTCTGCATGAAGTATTTGGCATAATTCACCAGTGAACCCATCTGGACCTTTCTAGTTTGGAAGATTGTTAATTATTGATTCAACTTCTTTAATAGATTTTGAGCCTATTTAAATGATCTGTTTCTTCTTGTGTGAGTTTTGGCATATTGGGTCTTTCAAAGAATTGGTCTTTCATCTCAGTTTTGAGGGATTGAGTTGCTTATAGTATCCTTTTATTATCCTTTTAATTTCAGTGGGACCTTTGGTGATTGAGGTCCCTTCTTTTTTTTCTGTTACTAGTAACTTTTGTCCTCTTTTTTTTTTCTTTTCCTTAGCCAGACTAGGAGCTTATTTTTTTGTTGTTGTTGTTGTTTTGTTTTTTTGTAAAGCTTTTGGTTTCATTGATCTTTCTGTACTAATTTCTGGTTTCTAATTTCATTGATTTCTGCTCTATTTCTTATTTCTTTTCTTCTGCTTACTTTGGGTTTAATTTGCTCATTTTCTAGTTTCCTAAAAAAAAAAAAACTTATGTTTTTAGATCTCTTTTCTTTTAATATATGCATTCAATGCTATAAATAGCTGTCTAAACACTGCTTTCGCTGCATCCCACAAATTTGGTAAGTTGTATTTTCATTCTCACCCAATTCAAAATATTTTAAAATTTCTTTTAATATTTCTCTTTTGACCCATGTGCTATTTAGAACTACATTGTTTAATCTCCACATATTTTGGAATTTTCTGGTTATATTTCTGTTATTGACTTCTAGTTTAATTCCATTGTGGTCTAAGAGCAGAGATATATGATGTCAGTTATTTTTAATTTGTTAAGGTGTGTTTTATGGCTTAAGATGTGGTCTGTCTTGGTGAATGTCCTATATGAGTTTGACAAGAATGTGAATTCTGCTGTTGTTCGGTGAAGTAGTCTATATCAGTTATATCCAGTTGATTGATGTTATTGGTGCATTCACCTGTATCCTTACTGCTTTTCTTCTGCCTATGGGATCTGTCCAGTTTTGAGAGACATGCATTCTTCTGTTTCTCCTTGCAGTTCTATTAGTTTTTGTCTCACATAGTTTCATGTTCCACTGTTATGTCCATAAACATGAAGGATTATTATGTCTCTTGGAGAAGTGAACCCCTTATCATTATTGTAATATACTTCTTAATCCCTGATAACTTCCTTGCTTTGAAGTCTGCTCTGTCTGAAATTGATATAGCTGTTCCAGCTTTCTTTTGATTAATGTTAGCATGGTATATTCCTCTTTATCCATTTATTTATATTTAAAGTGAGTTTCTTGCAGGCAACATATGTATAGGTCTTATTTTTTGATCCCTCTAACAATTTGTTTTTAAGTGGTATATTTAAACCATTGATGTTCAGAGTGATTACTGATATAGTTGGATTAATATCTGTTATATTTGTTAATGCTTTCTAATTGCTGCCCTTATTCTTTGTTCCTATTTGTGTTTCCCATTCTTTTTCTGCATTTTGTCATTTTAATTGAGCATTTTCTGTCATTCCATTTTCTCTCCTTTCTTAGCGTATTTTGGTAATATTTATTGTTTTTTAGTTTTTTAGTGGTTGCCTTAGGGTTTTTAATATATATTTACCACTAATGTAAGTCTACTTTCAAATAACACTAGAGTCAGCACCCTATAATAACAAAATAATCCTAATTTCTCTCTCCAGTCCCTTGTATCACTGTTATCATTGATTTTATAATATGTAAGCATATATATACATGTATATATATACATATATGCATATGCATACATAATTGAATAAATTATTACTGTTATTCCCTTATTTGTATTATTGCAGGATCCGGGGAATGCTGTTAATATGTAGACCACAGAATAATGGAATTTGAGAGTCCTAAGAAACAGATTTCTCATGCAAGTGAGCCCCAGAAAAAAACATTTAACAAAGTAGTGAAAGACTTTGGAGTGAAACAGCCCTGATTTGAATCCAATTTAGCCATCAGCTGTATGAGCTGAGGGGAGAATGGTAGCCCCTCTAAGTCTCAGTGTCCATGATTGTAAAATGATGGGAGCCCATGAGTAACTAGGGGGCTGTGGCAGGTAAATGAGATAATGTAACACTTATGACCATCTGGTATGCTGTACATATAATTAATTTGTTTTTCTGTGTAAACTGCAGGAGGTTATGGATTTTTGACTGTTTCACTCCTGCTACATTCTAGTGTCTAGAACAATGCCTAATAGTCCCTCACAAACATGCATTGAATGATTCATATAAAGTGGTTAGTCGTGTCTGGAATTTAATGACAGTGGTTGTTGAAAATGATGACGACAACAATAAAAAGCCTAAATCAAATTTTCTGGGAAGCCCATGTTAGCACTCACAGTTGTTCTGATAATTATATTGCCAAGTAATTGTAAATTAGTAAATATTCTTACTAATCCCCTTACTGAAAATGTCTTCTTTTTTCAGTGGAGAAAAAAATTTTCATATTTTTTACTATATCTATGCTGGATTAGCTGAAAAGAAGAAACTAGCCCATTACAAACTGCCTGAAAATAAGCCTCCCAGGTAAGGTCACCACCTTATACAAGGTGGTACTTGTATAAGTAATATTTTCACTTCTGATTGAACTTTAGATTTTGACCCATCCTTTCATATTTTTTTCAGATATCTACAAAATGACCACCTCAGAACAGTACAGGATATGATGAATAATAGTTTCTATAAATCCCAATATGAATTAATTGAGCAATGTTTCAAAGTCATAGGTTTTACAATGGAGGTAAGTATGAAAGACATTTGGAACCTCTTTAGGAAATATCATTTTGTCATCACTAATGGTAAGAATGAGCATTTATTGAGTGATTAATATATGCCAGGCATTGTACTAAGTGTTTTATGTGAATCATTCTTTTAATTACTGAAACAACCTTACAGAATAACGAGAACACTTACTAGAATTTTACAATATTTACTTCATATGTAAAGAGATGGTGGCCATGACATATAATTGAATTTCATTTTGTTCTGAATCTTTCATTTATATTGGCATCTCCCATATATATTACATTTTGCATAAATACCTAAATGGGAGTGCTAGTGGAGTCTTTTTTTAGTGCAGTTTTTTAATACAACTTTATTAAGATGTAATTCACATACCATACAAGTCAGCCATTTAGAGTGTACATTTTACTGACTTTTAGTATATTCAGAATTATGCATCCATCATCATAATCATTTTTAGAATATTTTCATGTTCTAAATTTTTCACTCCCAAAAGAAACATGCTAGTGATTAGGAGTTCCTCCTCATTCTTACCCATTTTTGCTTTCTGTCACCATGAATCATTTTATTCTGGACATTTCACATAAACAGAGTGATGCAGTACATCATCCTGTGTGGCTAGCTTCTCTCATTTAGCATAGTAATGTTTTCAAGGTGCACGCACGTTGGATGGAGCATGTGTCAGTAGTTCATTTCTTTTCATTGTTGAATAATACCTCATTTTATGGATATACTTCATGTTATTTATCCGGTCATCAGTTGATAGACATTTGGGTTGTTTCCATTTGGGGGCTATCATGAATAATGCAGCTGTGAACACTCATGTACAATTTTTTGTGTGGACGTAAGTTTCCATTTCTCTTTGGTGTATACCTAGGAGTGGAACTACTGAGTCATAGGGTAACACTGTGTTGAACCTTTTGAGGAACTGCTAGACTGTTTTCCAAAGCAGCTGCACTAGTTTACATTCTTACCAGCAGTGCGCAAAGTTTCCAGTTTCTCCATATCCTCCCCAACATTTACTATTATCTGTCTTTTTTATTATAGCCCTCCTAGTGGGTGTGAAGTGGTACCTTATTGTGGTTTTGATTTGCATTTACCTAATGGCTTATGACCCTGAACTTCTTTACGTGTACTTATTGGTCATTTACGTATCTTGTGTGAAGAAATGTCTATTCATACCCTTTACCTTTTTAAAAAATTGGGTTGCGTTTTTATTATTGAATTGTTAAGGATTATTTATGTTGTAAATACAAGTCCCTTATCAGATAAGTGATTTGCAAAAATTGTCTCCCTTTTGTTATCTTTTTACCTTCTTTTTTCTTTTTTCTTTTTTTTTTAAACTTTAACTTTGAGAGATAAAGAGAGAGAGACAGAGCACAGGGCAGGGAGGAACAGAGAGAGAGAGAGGCATAGAATCCAAAGCAGGCTCCAGGTTCTGAGCTATCAGCACAGAGCCCGACGCAGGGCCCAAACTCACAAATTGCGAGATCATGACCTGAGCCGAAGTCGGACACTTAAATGACTGAGCCACCCAGACGCTCCTATTATCTTTTCACTTTCTTGATGGTGTCCTTTGCAAGTATACATGTTTTTAATTTTTATGATGTCCAGTTTATCCATTTGTCTTTTGTTGCTTGTTATTTTTGTGTCATATATAGGAAACTATTGACTCATCCAAAGTCACAGAAATTCATACCTAAATATTCTTCCAGGAGCTGTATTGTTTTCACTCTTGTATACAGGTTACTGTTCCACTTTGAGTTAATATTTGTGTCTGATGTGAGATAGCTTCTTTTGCATGTAGATATTCAGTTGTACCACAACCATTTGCTGAAGACTGTTCTTTCCCCATTGCTGGGTTTGGCATCTTTGTGAAAATCAGTTGACCATAGAGGCGCCTGGGTCGCTCAGTGGGTTAAGCATCTGACTTTAGCTCAGGTCATGATCTCACTGTTCCTGAGTTTGAGCCCCACATCGGGCTCTCTGCTTTTAGCACAGACCCACTTCACAACCTCTGTCCCCCTCTCTCTCTGCCCCTGCCCCCTCGTGCTCACATACACTTTCTCTCTCTCTCTCTCTCTCTCTCTCTCTCTAAAATAAATAAACATTTTAAAAAAGAAAATTGAGGTACCTTGGTGTCTCAGTCAGTTAAGCATATGATTCTTGATTTCACCTTAGGTCATGATCCCATGGTTCATGAGATCAAGCCCTACGGGAGGCTTTGTGCTGACAGTGATGAGCCCACTTGGGATTCTGTTCCTCTCTCTCTCTGCTTCTCCCCGACTCACTCTCTCTCCCTCTCTCAAAATAAATAAACTTTAAAAAAAAAGAAAGAAAGGGCGCCTGGTGGCTCAGTTGGTTAAGTGTCCAACTTTGCTTGGGTCATGATCTCACGGTTCGTGAGTTTGAGCCCTGCGTCGGGCTCTGTGCTGACAGCTTGGAGCCTGGAGCCTGCTTCAGATTCTGTGTCTCCCTCTCCCTCTGCCCCTCACCCACTCACACTCTGTCTCTGTCTCTCAAACATAAATAAACATTTTTAAAAATTTTTAAAAAAAGATCAGTTGACCATAAATGTATAGATTTATTTCTGAACTCTCAGTTCTATTATAATTACCTCTACGTGTTTCTGCTAGTCCCACACTTGATTACTGTGGCTTTGTAATAAGTTTTGAAATTGGAAAGTGTGATTCCCCTAACTTTGTTCTTTTTCCCAATTGTTTTGAGTCCCTGGAATTTCTATGTGAATTTGAGGATCACTTTGTCACTTTCTAGCGCAGCCTTTTATAAGACTTCTTTTTTGTTCATCTTGCTCTTCCCCATCTCACCCCCTCCATCCATATCTGCTCTTTTTCACTTTCCCCAGCAAATGGATGTTCACAACTCAGCATTTATAATCCTGCATTTCATATTTATCTCCTTGCTTATTAAGTCCTGCTTACAGACACCATGTATACATGTGTAAACACACATGTACATGCACATGAATCTGGAGGGATGGGCATTGTTTTATTAATATGGTATTATATTACACACATTTTTCTTTTATACACACACACATATATATGTACATGTACATATGTGTACATGTACATATACATATGTACATATGCATACATATATATGTACATTCATTCTCAGGCCAGTTAACATACAGTATAGTCTTGTCTTCAGGAATAGAACCCAGTGATTCATCACTTACATATAACACCCAGTGCTCATCCCAACAAGTGCCCTCCTTAATGTCCATCACCTACCTCCCCTACCCCCTCAACCCTCCCCATCAACCCTCAGTTCTCTATATTTAAGTGTCTCTTATGGCTTGCCTCCCTCTCTGTTTATATCTTATTTTTCCTTCCCTTCCTCTATGATCATCTGTTAATTTTCTCAAATTCCACATATGAGTGAAATCATGTGGTGTCTGTTTTTCTCTGGCTGACTTATTTTACTTAGCATAATACCCTCTGTTTCCATCCACGTTGTTGCAAATGGCAAGATTTCATTCTTTTCATCTCCAAGTAGTGTGTGTGTGTGTGTGTGTGTGTGTGTGTGTGTGTGCACACCATCTTCTTAATCCATTCATCAGTTGATGGACAGTGGGCTCTTTCCATAATTTGATTGTTGATAGCACTGGTATAAATATTGGGGTGCATGTGCCCCTTTGAATCAGCATTTTTGTATCCTTTGGATAAATTCCTAGGGGTGCAATTGCTGGGTCGTAGGGTAGTTCTGTTTTTAATTTTTTGAGGAACCTCTATATTGTTTTCCTGAGTGGCTGCACCAGTTTGCATTCCCACCCGCAGTGCAAAAGGGTTCCACTTTCTCCACATCCTCACCAACATCTGTTGTTTCTTGAGTTGTTAACTTTAGCCACTCTAACTGGTATTACACACATTTTTCTATACCTGGTTTCTCTCACTCTGCAATACCTTGAGGAAATCCCTTCAAGTCATCTAGTGTAGCACTAAATCAGTCCTCTTAAATTTTTTTTAATGTTTATTTATCTCTGAGAAAGACAGAGCATGAGCATGAGCAGGGGAGGGACAGAGAGAGAGGGCACAGAATCCAAAGCAAGCTCCAGGCTCTGAGCTTTCAGCACAGAGCCAACATGGGGGTCGAACCCACAAACCGTGAGATCATGACCTGAGCCAAAGTCGGACGCTTAACAACTGATCCACCCAAGTGCTCCCAATAAGTCCTCTTAAAGGCAACATAGTGTTCCATGGTATGTACTACCATAATTTATTCTGCCATTCAGATATAACTGGGCATACAACTATTAATGTTTCTAAGTCTTTGTCACTGAACAAGGCCATAATTTGTTTTTATTTCTTGGTGCTTTTATCTCAGTGGGATAGGTCCCTAGTGGTGGGATTGCTGGGTCATAGGGTATATGTATTTTAAATTTGAATATGAATTTCAAAATTGCTTTCTAACAACTATAAAACATTTGATATTTCTACCAGCAATGTATGTGAGTCCCCTACACCACCATCTCTGCCATGTGTTGTAGCTTTTTAAATTTTTGGTAATCTGACAGGTGTATGTAACCTCTCATTTCAAGTTTGCATATCCTTAACTAAGAGTGAATTTGAGCATCTTTCCTTTTTTTAATTTTTTTTAATTTTTTGTGTTAGCTGCTTGGATTTGCTTTTTATGAACATATATGTATGTATGTTGCCCTTTTATTGAGTCATTTCTATGTTTTATGCCAATTTCTTCTCATTGAATATTATTGACATTATATTTTTTTTATCATTTGTGTTTTAAATATGTTTTCAGTTGTATGGCTGGTCCATGGCATACTTATACTTTTTTTTTCTTAACTTTTTGTCATTACTTTTACCATATAAAAATAGGGTTTTCATTTTTGTATATTCAGACAAGTCGTTTTTTTGTTTGTAACATCTGGGTTCTAGTCTTGGTTTAGAAATTTTCCACTTTCTCTGGATTATACATGTAGACTCCTAGATTGTTTTGAAAGTTTAAAAACATATA